ACTCAGAATAAGAGAGAAATAGTATTGAAGCTACTGACCATAACATAGATACGAATGGATTTAAGGCATCTACAGTTTTAGCATATAAGGAGGGGACATCTGAAACCTCACATAAAATTCTTAATAGAGCAGAAATTAGGGTGGCATTTACGTCTACAAACCCACTTAGGAACAAGCTCGGTACGCTGGAGGAGCCAACTGACGCAATCAGACAAAGTAATGAAATCTACAAAATACCTTGCAATGACTGTGAGGTCAGCTACATTGGTCAGACAAATAGATCAGGGGTGGTTAGATTATCAGAACATAAGAATTTAGCTAAGTGTAGAATGACTGACTCAATGATAACGAATAGATTCGGGAAAAACTCAGCCATGGTAATGTATGAGTTAACACACAACAACACAATAGGGGTGAGAGTGAATTACAGTTCTAAGAGTAATATAGTTAGGTGGAAGAAGGGGTTGATCATTGAATTCACGCCTAACATGTGCATAAAGGATTGACTCAATATCAATAGCAGAGATATGGAAAATATTGCTGCCCAACAAAATCAAAGGTTAGGAAGTAGTGTGACAGCATTAACAAAATCTGGAAGCTATGACCACACCTCAATATGATTATGTACAACAAATTAGGCTCGGAACGTCCACTGTGTATCGTAACCAAGACAATTATTCTATGACAGGACAGACATAACTCAATTCCTTAGCTCCCTAGTCCATGTACGTCTGTGCATACAAAATGCATTATACATAAATTTCTACTTGTTTTCAAAGAACTCCCCTTAACTACTTAATACATCTATTTTAATCTGAGTGGACACTAGTTAGCAACTAGTGTAATGTGCGTAGTCCTTTGTTTGGTGCAGACAGGATTATATCATTCAAGTTTGGAATGTGGTCACCATTCTAAGTAGCTCGCCATCACAGTGCACTTTGAATTGTTGGTATTAGATGATTGAAGGCAATAGGCAGGAAGCATTGGACCTAAATTTCGTGCTAGTTGGCAATCACCAGTCAGCAAGGCGTATCTGCAGCCTTGGAAGAACTCATATCCCTTCTGAGATTCGAGGTCAATCGCGAGGACGAATAGCTCAGTGGTAACGTCTCTAACCGCAGCACTGAGTGACGCGAGTTCGAATCTCAGAAGGGACAAGAGTTCCTTCAAGGTTGCAGATACGCCTTGCTGACGATTGGTGAGTGCCAACTAGCATGAAACCTAGGTCCCAGGCCTACTGCAGAATGCCTCCAACCATCTAATACATCCATTTTAGTTCTGTTAGAATTATACATTAACAATCTAAAATAAAAATACTGATTCATGTAAACCAAAGCATAAAATACCATTGGGGAAACGAACAAAGCATAAACTGAAAGAATAAGGTGGAAAACAGGATTCATTTCTGTTTCTTCAATAGCAGCAGCAAGTGAGCGCTAATAAGAAGCTACAATATATATATATATATATCATGGGTGTAGTCCAACCAGTGAAAATTATCATTTCTACGGCTATATATGACTCATGGGCATACTAACAGAAAAAGGTGGGTGATGAAATTCTTAAAAATCAGTGCACAAGATACCAAAAGTCTAGTCGACATAGAGAAAATCTTAACAACAAAAGTAACAATCATGAACATAAGAGACTCATGCAAAGTCAGTCAGTCAGTTAGTCAATCAGTGTGGCTAAAATCCCCAAAAATATTTACTCAGAAGTAAGATGTAGAATTTTTAAGAAAAAGGCAGAGATAAAGAGGGAAAGACTGGGTGGGGGGGGGGGAAACAGAGAAGTAAACTTTCTTTTAGACAATATGAAAAACAGACAAATAAAAAAGGGTTGGTAAAAAGTAGTCAGGTGATTTCTCCTACCACGTCAACACGCATAATCATAATAAAGTTAAAAGAATATCAACTCAAAATCAATCAGTTGGCTGGTGAACTTGAACAAGTACAACTTTTAGTTGATTAAAGACGCCCATTGAAAATTGCAAAAGACTGATTGGTGATTAAAGAATATTCTTCCCTATAACTGCTTCATCAAGTACTACATTTATATGACGATAATAATTAAAAAATTATTTGTTATTAACAACACTAAATCCCTCAATATCAATAGGGTCAGGCTGGAAAAGAGCTAGCGGCGGTCAAACCAAAACATGGTTTCATCAGTCAGTGAAATCTACAACAGTTAGTCTAGGCGAAGTAGGAAGGTGTAGACTTCCCGACTGGTTAGGGTCCTCGGAACGGTAAAAACCAATGGTTGGAAACAATTGGTGATATGGCTCAAAATCGTTCTCAATGGCCGGCGCGGATGCATCCACTCCTTGTGACTGATAATATGCAATAAAACTATATTGTTCTTCGTTATTACTATTCCTTTGTCTCACACCTCTGTTTACTGTCTCTAATATGCATTTCTACTTTCTTCTCTTGCTTTGTGTGCTACAAGGAGGGAGTGTGGCGACTTGAACTACCACACATATGTGCACAGTTTTATGTCGAAGACAGACAGACAGACCTAAATATCAATAGATTACAGTCTGTAATCACCAGTAAGTGATAATTTGCATCAAAATAACACCAAATTTAATAGATTACAACACGACTGTTACTCGAGGAGCTTAGTTTTTCGTGCTCGGGAACACTCAACAGTGTGGAGAAATAAAGGTGTAGTAAAAGCAATCAAAGGTTGGATACTGAACCACCTAGTTCAAACGAACCATTGAAGAATATTTTTCTGTCATCTATCGAGTAGCAAATAAGTCGGTTAAAGCCTGAAGGTATGGAATACTCTAAATAATAGAGGCTATGACGATTCACTTAAGACAACTGGAGTTCTGTGTGGAAAAGAAACAGGTCCAGACACCCTATGGATTCCATAAATCCATAAATTTTCCATTACTTTGCTTAATTTATTTGATATTCAGTTTAGTGTTATACTGACGCATATTACCATTCACAGATGCTTTCAAATTGTAATCCATTGATACAATTGATTCAATGTTATTTAAAGACATTTATACTGTTAATAACAATAATTCCTTAATTATTTCGGATGTATAACTAGAATCTGATGGAACGTTTATCTAAAAGAGTATTCTTTGTTCACTAATCAGTCTTTTACAATGCAACTTTGACCAAGTAAAATATGAGGAATGATTACTCCTTGGTAGGGAATATTCTTTTCTAAATAATAACTCGAGAAAGTATTATCTTAAAATATGTCTCATTACTGATCGATAGTTCAAGGTCATCTGATCGTCCCGCAGTTTTCGTCGATACTCTTTAACTTGACAAAATGAATTATGTAAGATAGTGGATTGATGAATTATTAAACTGTCTCTACTTATTTTAACCACAAACACCATTTTCAAGTGCAAAGTTTGTAAGGAATTGATTTGTCTCAAGGTTCATTACATATTGATATTAGTTAGAGAACCAGTGAAAACCAGGGTGTACTTGAGAGCTGTTTGAGTCTGATTTGGGATTCATCATCAGTATGCATCCATGACTCCACCGGGGATGGAATCAAGGACCTTCAGGTTACTAGACCAAGAGCTCGATGACCATTCAGCCACTTGGGCCGGAATCCAATGGCTCATGGGTTCAAATTCCTGCAAACTAACTTTTAAAAATTATTCTGATTCTCACTAGCAACTAGCAACACGACAAAGTTGCCTCGAGTTGTAGTGAGAAACCGTGACCAGTGAGTTTCACTAGGTCAGATGAGAGGGTAAATACTCGAAGACGACATTGGCTGGAAGTCACGCTAAAATCGCAAAATGACACAAGTTAGAACTAATGGGCCGTTGGATTCCATCTCAGTGGTTGAATGGTCTATCGCCCCACCTCGTGACCTGGAAGTCCTGGGTTCATCCCTGATAGGATCATGAGTGCATACTGATGAGGAGTCTCAAACGGGGACGAAACAGCTGTCCAGTACTCCTTGATTTTCAATGGTTCTCTAATTGATATCAGTTAGTGATCAAACTTGAAACACGAACACTGTGCGCTTTTTAAGAGTGACACGAGTCATAACCTAATGTACGCTAAGGAGTCCTCCACTTGTTAAGAATTCCTTAAAATGTAATTTTTGCAACGACTATCGAAGGGAAGTGGAAGTAAAGACATGAGTGAAAATGAATTATGACAGCTGAATGGTGGAAAATTCACACACACACCTTCAGTACATAAATACGAAGTAACTTACAATCGAGAACTATGAAAATCTGAAGACTGATTTGAATAAATATACAGTTTCATATTACTTGTATCTGTTCCAGATGACTGAACTCTAACGAGTATTCAATTAATTTATATTATTATGTTATCATCTAGGTAGTATCGTTTGAACTACAAGGGGCACAAATAAGGATATCACAGACAGGATCAGAATAGCAAGACATAACCTCATTAATTTTAAATCAGTGTGGTAATCAGCTACACTCAGCATAAGGAACAAGATTCGGATTTTCAACACTAATGCCAACTTCCTTCTTCTATATGCTTCACAGACTTGGCGCGTGTGCCACCAAAAGCATTCACAACAGGCTGATACACACTTTCATCAACAGCTGCGTTCGCTCCATACTCAAGATCAGATGGTCAAACGGAAATGAACAGCACAAGAGGAACTGCAACAAACCAACCGGGAACCTATCGATCAACAAATATGCAGGACCGAATTGAGATGGATCAGACACAAACTCGGAAAACAGATGAGTAACATCACACATCAAGCTCTCAAGTGGGAAACGACGAGTTGAACTGGGGTCCGAGGGTGACATGGAGGAGATCGTGGGCAATCGTGCAGCTAGCTAAAGAGGACTTCAGAGAACAGGGCGAAATTGAGATGTGCAGGTGAAGCTCTATATTTCACTCGGAACCCAAGGAATTAATAATAGTAATAATAATAAATATACCACCATGTGACAGTGATAGTTCAATCCTAAACAAACATATATATATATATAATTACCAAATAAAAAGTTCATTTACCTTTACGCATATTGAGCGTACTTCAGGTTTCGTGTTTGAACAAACAGCTAAACGTGCTAGTCCAGGGAGAATAAGACATATCAGATCTTGTTTACGTTTCTCTACTAAATTCGATTGTTGACTAATATCTTCAATAATTGTCAAGACAACGCTGAGTATTTCTTCTTCGAAACTCCCCGAATGATGTACTGAAAACAGTCCAGCTACAAAAAGAAAGAAAGATCAAAAGAAGAAATTATATATATACTACTTAAATCAGAATGTGAAGAGTTGAATTAAGAAAGGAATTAACAGTTTTGCCTAAATTCAGCCTTCTTAATCTCAGAGTTAAGAGGCAGCCGGATAGAGGACGTGTAGTTACATAATAGTTGGCTTCATTTTCTTGAGATATCCAATTTGACAGGTATTTTCTTTTCTTTTCGAGTGGAATAGAGAGCTTTAAGTAGTTTTAAAGTTTGAGTAGCGGTTGTCTCGCTAGCCTCTCACATCATACTTCCGTCGCTCTTCCACGGTTAGTGTTGATCAGGAAACTAGGCAAATTTCAAGGAGTGAATCAGCCGAGAATAGAACCCGGACCTCTCACGTGATTGGAGAGTATTCTACCATAAAGCGCAAACGAAGCAATATTTGACAGAAATTCAGACTGACTGACTGATTGGTTTCAACGTAGAACTTTGGACCGATGTGTAGCAGTTCCAGTCGCCATACTTCACTCGGTACACAAAGTCAGAAAAGAAGAAGAAGAAAGTAAAAAGAAATGAAAAACAGAGGCAAAGAAGAACAGCAATATGCAAGAACAATAGAATTTTCTTAGATATTATAAATCATAGAGAGTGGATGCATCTGATTCAGCCATTGAGAACGAATTTGAACCATATCACCAATCGTCTACAGCTTTCATCGGTTTTCATCATCCCGAGGAACCCAACCAGTCAGGAAGTCTACACATTCCTACGTGGCTGGCTTAAACTAACTGTCGTGGATTTCACTGACTGATGAAACCATGTTTTGGTTTGACCACCACTAGCTATTTTTCAACCTGATCAGTCCTATGTCGGTCAGCTAACATTGCACGTGGAGGAAGGAGATGGCTAGGCATACGTACCACATGTCCTAACCATCTCAGTCGATGTAGCTTCACAGCCTTATCGATTGATTTCCCCTTCTTACCTAGCACTCGACCGGTGCCTCACCTCAATATTGCTCACCGCATTATACCAATTCACAGGGGAGATAGAACGCAGGCACCTATGATCAAAGACAGCTAATCAGTCCTTTCATGTCTTCCACTCTTAGTGGATATGTCTCACAGCTATAAATGAAGACGGAGCGGACTGCTGAGCAGTACACCCGCCCTTTGTTCGATAGCCGGATATCGCATCTACGCCAGAAATGGTGCAATTTAGGATATACTATACGAGCCTTCTGTATCCGTGCTGAGATTTCTTCAACGATCAACCCATTGGGGGTGATGCAACTTCCCAAATTCAGATGAATTAATAATCATAAAACTAATTAATATATGTGTGAAACGTCGACATTGTGGTAACATGTAACTTCATATTAGTTTATTTATTTGCTATATCACACAGTGAAACACTATTATTAACTTAATGTATAATACTGTTTCACTGTGTGGTATATCCGGTAAAAAAGGACCCATTTCTTGATGAATCCAGTGTGCACTAACGATACAACACTTGAATTTCTTTGGCAGCGTGAACGACTTTAAACACTGCTATGCAATTTCACTGAAAGTAATAATAACAGCTTTATTCTGAACACGTTTATGGACAGTACAAAATTTACATCTTGCTTTTGTCTAATCCATATACAGAATAGTCAAATAAAATTGTAATCTAGAGTATATCAGCTAAGCAAAATGTTTTTCAGTCTGCGACATGTTGCGAACCCCGAAATATTCGACACTCCATAACAGACCAATTGGTTGTAGAAAGAGCTACTGACAAGATTTATCAGTAGTAAATGAAGAGATGTTCATCGCCACGAAAATATCAAATAGCGAGGGAAGACGTAGATTTGACGTCAAAGAGAGGAAATGAATCAGTATTGCGGCAAAATATGGGAGATACAAAAGAAGATCAGGAAAAACAATACGAAGGGCAGAAGTAGCACAACACCGAAGATCTGTGCAAACGACGATTTTCACAGTAGGTATACGTAGTTTCGCTATACAGAGATATCAAATTCCAAATAAACATTCAATTACCAAGTCTCTTGTTTTATACCGTTACACGATATATTGATTGCCATTCAGATTATTTTTTAAGGACTTAAATAGGTGGTTAAAACAAAGCATAACTGAGCAAACTTAATACACTGTGCTCTGTAGTAAATTAGACAGCCCAGTGATTTAAGCATGCCGCCTATTGGAGATATGCCTCATCGACCGGCTTAAACAGCTAATGTTTAATTAATGAGCCGCACTTCACCCATACTTTAAGACGAGTCGAATGGTTAGTGTTATCAACCTTAATATGATGAAACTAAAAATTGCAACTCGTAGCACGATTCATGAGAAATTCGTATTAGTAATTTCTAAATTCTCAATTACGCACACAGAAAAAACAACAGATTGAGAAATATATTCCTTTTCAACTAGTTTTTCATCATCAGCTTTACACTAATACGTAGTTTTCTTTACATCAAAAGTTGTCCTCGTAGACCATGCGAGAGGTTGGATGATATACGATAAATAATTTTAAAAGCTTCGTTATAGTCCACTTGATGTCTAGTATCGACGAGATGAGCTAGTATTGAGCTACACATAGCTTTATTCGGACCTTCACCAAATCAAGATGGGAGGTGTTCAGAAATTCGACAATGAACTTGCCCGATCGTACGCCCTATGTAACTAGCTGCATACAGCAGAGGCAATCGGAATTCATTTGAACAAGCCAAATCTATGTGTTCAAAAATTTGTTTGGCCCCCTTCTTTGACATGGCCAACTACATAATATTACTGAAGTTTTCAAGAAAAAGAATTTTCCCGTCCCCTTGTAACTACCCTTTGACTCTGTTAATTTTTACAATTCTAGCTAATTCTACTAGCTTGTTTGTATTTGACGTAACTCTTCTGAGTCATCATTGCTACTATAGAAATTTCTTGATTATGTGATAACTTGTTGCTGACGCCTAAGAATTAAATTATCTTTAATTCCGTAATTAAATTTCACTCCTCCTTTAGAACTTGTTACTAACACCTATTAGTTAAGTGTTTTGGTGATCTTCAACCTCCTAATTTCACCCCCCTTATACATAAAGCTCACTGACTAAAATAACCACTTGATTGGTAAAAGAAATTTTGATGTTAAAAAAACTACATATTAGTGTAGAGCCGATGATGAGGAAATAATTGAAAAGGAATATATATCTTCGCTCAATCTGTCGTTTTTTTCTAAATCTGTTTTAGGTAAACTGCATTCTAACAAACCAGCTTTTGAGCTTTCCAGTAACAAGCTAATACCAACGGCGGAAGCAGAACTACTACTAGCAGGAACCGACTGTGCAACAAATATGCAGGAAGAAATGGAGGTGGATTGGCCATACTCTGGGAAAACCAACAAGTAACATCACATTCCAGGCTATTGCTCGAGTGGAACCCAAACGGAAAGCGGCGAGTTGGTCGTCAGTGTGAGGGTGGGGTGACATGGAGGAGGTCATGTGAAGAGGAGATGAAAGCATGTGGGCAGACGTGGAGCCAGGTGAAAATGTTGGCAGAGAATCGAACGCAATGGAGACGTGCCCTATGTTCCTCTAGGAACTAAAAGAAACAATAATAATAACAATAATACCTTTTGAGTGCTTTTACAGTACCAAGCTATGCATAAAATATGGATTGACATTTTAATTGTTACCAAAGGTTTGTTTTTCTAGCATAGATCAATAAAAAATACGTGTTAAAAGCTGTTTTGTATCGATTCAAAATCGGTTGCTAAATATAGGCGAAGGATTACACACGATGTGATTTATCGATTTCAACTACTTTATTTTACAAAAGAAAAAATTAAGTCAATTTTCGATACATGTGTAAACAGAATAATGAGATGAGTTCTATAGCTATTGAAAATCGACCGCATTTCAGTAAAAGCAAAAGTACAATCTTATTGATTGATCGTCTGCATTGATTTTTTTAAAAAAAAAAACCGATATTGGTAATGGAATCAATACTGAAACGAAAGTGTAATATCGAAATCAAATAATAATAATAATAATGACAACAGCAACTAACAATGATGGTGATGATGATGACACAAATACTTAATACACATGAGATGAAATTATCACACTAATTTCTTTTTTAAATGTGTAAAGATTGAAAATATATTCTGTAGAAAAAAAACAACATGAAAGGCAACAATATCTAGAAAGATATTGTTTATTCTTGTGTTGTGTATTTATGTATGTGTTCGTGTGTGTGTGTGTGCGTGAATGCATTGCAGAAGATCAAGATACTTGCACACACGTATACACTATTAAGTATATCAAGTATAAGCCTATGCATACTAAACTAAACAGCCACTCAACTCAACCATCCATCCATCCATCCACCCACTTAGCCAACTCAATGAATCTATAGAGACACATTCAACCTTCACAAGACGTGTATGCATAACAAACACACACACACACACCAATCGCCTGTGATTCATATTGCTATATACTACATAAAACAACAAATGTGATGCATTATTGTCTACTCTTACTACATTAAATAAATGTGCACACAAAATGGCTCAACAATAAACAAATCCAAAAGTAATATGTTTTTTTGAGTAAATCGATTATTGATTTGATCATTTATTATATACAGAGTAGAGAAGTAAGGCGACATTAGCAAAGCTAATAATAAATTTATTTTTTTTTCTGACTGTGAAAACAAGATCTGAATTGATAGTCACCGATGTGGTAAAATCAACCACGTGGGTAGATACAATTAGATATGCATAGTCGTTATAAATATTCCCTTCCCACAAACTCTGTATATAAGAAGTATTAGGCTAACTGTAAACACCATGGATTATAAGCAAAATAGTGTATTTGGACACATTTTATTCAAATATACGTGAGTAGCCTAGCTACATGCGCGTGTGTACTGCTCATCAGTCCGCTCCGTCCTCCTTTATGGCTGTGAGACCTGGCCATTGAGAGTGGAAGACATGAAAAGATTAGCTGTCTTTGATCATAGGTGCCTGCGTTCTATCTCCCGTGTAAAGTGGTATAATACGGTGAGCAATATTGAGGTTAGGCGTCAAGTGCTAGGTAAGGCGGGTAAATCAATCGACAAGACTGAAATTACATTGACTGAGATGGTTAAGACCTGTGTTACGTATGCCTAGCTATCGCCTTCCTCGACAATGGGCAATGTTAGCTGATATAGGGTCGGGCTGGAAAAGAGCTAACGGCGGTCAAACCAAAACATGGCTTCATCAGTCAATGAAATCTACAACAGTTAGTCTAAGCCACGTAGGAAGGTGTAGACTTCCTGACTGGTTAGGGTCCTCGGGACGGTAAAAACCAATGGTTGGAAACAATTGGTGACATGGCCGACTCAAAATCGTTCTCAATGACTGGCGCAGATGCATCCACTCCTTGTGACTTATGATTTCCAATGAAACTGTTTTGTTCTTCGTTATTACTATTCCTTTGTCTCACAACTCTGTTTACTGTCTCTAATATGCATTTCTCATACTTTCTTCTCTTGCTTTGTGTGCTACATGGAGTGTGGCGACTTGAACTGCCGCACATATGTGCACGTATTCCTAAGCCTCGTCTAGCTGATAGCGTGATCAGTAAGGATGGGAGGTCGAACGTGAGGCTAGTAATACCACAAGTCCCAATGTTACACTCCGAACAAAGAGGAATGAAAAAAAGGTGTTATGCTTCATAACAAAACTATTACACTTTATTATGTAGTCACCAACACATCTGCTTCTAACTGAGGCAAAAACGACCCAGTCTCTCTTTTACATGCGTTGCTAACACTTGAAAAAAGGTGGAACAATATAACACCTAGACTGGCATTTTTAAGCTATTCATCTAAATATAATTTAGGTATTTGGAATACAAGTTTGTAGATTTCAAAGCTATTAAGACGACTGGTGCTGTATTTTTTTTCATTGTTGCTGTGCGATAACGACAGCTATTTAATGAGGTCTGCTATAAGCAACTCTGACACTCACCCAACCAGCCAAAAACCTATTAATGTAAGTGTGGTAGAGTGTAATTTCATACTACATAAGTTCATTTTAAATATCACAAAATGATGTAGTGTTAACTACAGAATGACGTTTCGAGCATAAATTATTGTTCATAATCATATTCATTTAGTCACACTGCTTCACAATTTGTCTTACAAATTTTTTCTCTCTTTCTCTTCTCTATGTTGTTTGTTGCCACTTTCCATATCTCCGGTATAGGCGTTGAGTCATTCCGATTGCTCAACTTATTACCCGACAAATATGTCGGATCGGACATAAGCTGAGACGGTTGAGTAACATCACACCCGCGTGGAGGATGACTGGTAAGACGTCAGACGATGAGACGGCGGAGATTGTGTAACGTGGAAATGAAAGCCTACGGTGTAGTCGTGAAACCAGCTAAATACGAATGCAGAGAACAGAGTTAAATGGAGATTGGTTTCTGAAGCGCTGTATGTTGAGCAAGTAACCCAAGGGAATTATAATCACAATATTGAGAGAATAATCTCTTATTTATTAAGCGAACTGGCTGATCGACTGGTTAAGAAGCTAGTATGATAAAGTACGAACATTTTTGACATTTTCCACTCACATGACATTTAGTGATTAGAATAAACCCAAGAAGGCGTTGTTAAGCTCGAAACGTTTATTATTTTTACCGTGAGATATTCACCTAAGAGAAGCTCGGATGGTGAATGCTGTGATACTTTTCATGCTTTATGAGCCTGGATATATCTGAGTTAGACTCAGAAGGGAAGAATATTTATTTCCCAGTAGAAGCTTTTCGATCGGTGGTATACGTTTCTGCAACCTGTGTTGTGAGTATTTTGGAATTTTGTTGGATAAACAGCTACAGCACTGCATTATAACACGAATAAGAACAATCACATGGGAAAAAATGCACTTAGATAGAATTGCATATTCTATGAAATAGCTAAGCTCGATTATTTACACTTATAATTTCAGGATTGTGTGCCATTCGCTAATTAATTCTACTGACCCTATGACCACTCAAAGTATTTAGTTTAGAAAACAGACTGATTATTATTTTTATTCCTTTGGATTCCGCGTGGAATAAAGAGCTCCACCTGAACATCCCACTTCATCGTGTGATGTGTTCCATGTAGTCCTCTCTAGGTGGCTCCACGATTGCCCATAAGCTTTCGTTTCCTCCTCACATGATCTCCTCCATGTCACCGGACGTTCAACTCATCGTTTCCCACTCAAGCTTTAGTCAAGGACTTGCACGATCTCACTCAAAGGTCACCTCAGTGTACATCAAAAGCATTTCCACTTCTTTCAGTTGGTAGGTTCTTGAATGGTTCGCTGTTAAGATTCCTTGTTGCTTATCCTTTCTGGTCGGCCATCCGATCTTCAGTATCGAGCCAGCGGAGGCTGAAAGTGTGCAGCCTGCTGTGAAGTGCACGTCAAGTCTCTGAACCCTATAGAAGAACTAAGTGATTTGAGTGTTGCAAATTAAGATCCTCTTCATTATGCTGACTGTCTCGGATTTCCACACTAATTTCAGTGTAATGAAGGTTTGCTTTGCTTTCGCAATCTTAGGTAGTTTTGACATCCTGATCTGTGCCGCTTGTAGTTCATTAAATGATGCTGTCTAGATAAGTGAAGCAGGTAACTTCCTTTATTTTTCTCCCGTTGATATAAAATCTCGACTCAAAAAAAATTCTCTTTTTGTTATTCAAGTATTGGTTTGTAGGGATTTTGATTGATTGGTTACAGGATTTCATCATGAGCTGATATCGGTTAGAGAACCGTTGGAGAACCTAGGAGTACTGGACAGTTGCTTCGTCCTAATTTGGGACTCTTCAATGGTACGCACCCACTGGGGGTCGAACCCAGGACCTTCTGGTAACAAGGCGAGCTCGTAGACCATTAAGTCACTGGGACCCGATCCAATGACCAGCCCATGAATTCGAATTTCTGATGCTCATTAGCGACTGGCCCTATTTAGGTAGGTACCTGGGCTGATGAAACAGCTGTCCAGTACTCCTAGGTTTTCCAATGTCAGCTCATGACGAAATCCTGTAAGCAATCAATCAAAATCCCTACAAACCAATACTTGATTATCAATGAGATGCTCACTGGCGACTGGCCCTATTCAGGTAGGTAGTTACCTGGGGTTTTAGTGTGAAGTCGTGACCAGTAGGGTGCAGCAGGTTAGGTGTGAGGAAAAATACTCGCCAAAGACATTGGTTAGCGGTTGCGCTTTGTCGTGAATTGGCAGAAGTTAGAATTCATGGGCCATTGGGTCGGGTCCCAGTGACTTAATGGTCTACGAGCTAGCTCGCCTTGTAACCAGAAGGTCCTAGGTTCGACCCCCAGTGGGTGTGTACTGACGAAGAGTCCCAAACTAGGCTGACGAAACAGCTGTTCAATACTCCCAGCTGGTTTTCCAATGGTTCTCTAACCAATGTCAGCTCATGATGAAATCCTGTAACCAATTCTCTTTTTGCTTCAGTAATTTTTTTCATTCAAATATTAATGGTATAAAGATCGTAGCAAAGTTTTCATCGAAACTGATGTTGGCCACAGGGTAATTGTTAGTTGGATGACTGTTTCGACTTATTTTGCGACTGTTCAGCAGTACATATCTATAATCCTTCTAAAGGTTAAACCCCGAACTCTCTTGGTTTCTAATGGTTCACGGACTATATAGCTTCCCTCAATCCGCGATATAGCTCCAAAGCTATCCAATGTCATTGGATGAGTCAATATTGCCATACCTCTTATGGTGTCTATATTTTTTTGTCAAAACAAAATGTTGTTTAGCTTACATCAACCTAGATAACCAATTTATATGATAAGATGCTGTACACAAAAAAAGAGGCTAATAGAGCACAACATATAAACTCTTTAACTCACCAAAAAAAGGAAGAATAAATTACAATTCCATGCATAGACTTACGATTCAAATGAATAAAGAAAGTCTACAACAAGGGAACACTTACCAGCTACACTGACAGAATCTGCTGATGTCCAATGGTCTAACAAACGACTAATAAATGATAATAAACAAAATTTTGATTCACTAGATGATCCATTAGGAGCAACACCCGAGGATGAGGATGATGAAGACGATGAACTGACAGCGGCTAAATTAACACCTGCATTATTCGTTGAATAGCACTCCTTACTATTCACTTCACTTGATGACAGCTTTAAATCTTGTGGATGAAATAACCGTAGGCGTATAGGACCACAACCGCTTAAAATTACCGGCAGGCAACTAAAAGCAGCCAGCAATGCACGTGAATTAATTTGACTTGAAGAGGCATTGCCGTTTAAATTTGATGTTTGTCCACTGCTACTAGTGCTACCACCACCACTACTAATAGAATTGGTTGATGCTTGTCGACTGTATACATTCGCTGATGATGTACGACTAGTCTTTCTGCTTGATGATGATGTAGATGTTTGTCGTGTGAAAGGATTTGTAGCTCCAGTAGTTTTACGTGTTGTTGTTGTAATTAAACCAACAGCTAGCAATATTTGATGACATATAGTTGGAATGATATCATAGACTAATATATCCGCCATATGTGTTATACACGCTGCTAGATACACTGTACTCGGTGATTCACTATTCTGACCTGATGATACTGATGAGATATTTGATGATTTTGTTAAACTATAATCAAATGCATCATTATACCTGTGATTCAATGTTCGTGTAGCTTTTAAATTACGTTCAAGTAGACTTGGAAGTCGATGATTGCAGGCAATGGGTAAACTCTCCTGTGGTGAATTAGCCAATATAGCAGAGCATAATAAGAAGGCTTTAGCTCGTAGCATAGCGTGTGGACTTTCTAAATGACGGAATATAGCATTGATAAATTTCTGTTCAGATAGTAATCGTCGACATGCAGCTGGTGTACCAGCACCAACTATACCAGTGATTGAATGACGTGATATTTTACCTGTTAATGAATGAGCTCTTTTCACTTTTGGTATCACTGTATTTGAAGATTTAATAATTAACGGAGGTAATAAACCAGAAGTAGCAGTGGATAGTAGTCGAGCCTAGAAAGAAAAAAGATCAAAAGATCAAACACCAGGACTAGTAAAACACACACAAAAAAAACATAGTTGGATGCAAGTATTATTATTACTATTGTTCCCTTGGGTTCCTAGTGGAACATTGGGCTTCAACTGCACGTCTCCACTTGCTTCTCTCTTCTGCTGTACTTTTCACTTGCATCCATGTAAGTCCATACTGTTTCAACTCTTCTTCACACGATCTCCTCCATGTCACCCTTGGACGTCCCACTCACCGCTTCCCTTTCGAGTTCCACTCGAGGGCCTGACGCGCGATGTCACCCAACGGTCTCCTCAGCGAGTGTTCAATCCATCTCCACTTTCTCCTGCATATTTGTTGAGCGATTGGTTCTTGTTTTCTTTGTTCCCATAAGTTCTTGTTGGTGATTCCTTCCGGCCATCTGATCTTCAGTATAGAGCGAAATATTCTTTGTGATCCGCCAAGTTTCTGATCCGTATAGCAAAACTGACTTGACGTTTGTATTGAAAATCCGAATTTTGTTGTTGATGCTGAGTGACAGCGGAAGATTTCCAGATTGGTTTCAGGTTGATGAATGTGTTTCTCGCCTTCCCGATTCTCGATTTGACATCCTCATCCGTTCCTCCTGTAGTTGAAACAATGCTCCCTAAATAAGTGAATGAAGTAACCTCTTTCAAATCCCTCCCGTTGATGGTGATTGGCACTGGATGTTGCTGCTGTTGTTGGTTGGTTATTTTCATAACCTCCATCTTGTCTATGTTCACCTGGAGTCCTGTCTTCTCTGGCTGCTTCTTCAACCAGTTTGTCGGTTTTTGCTTGTAAGTCTTCGATTTTGTGTGACATCAAACACAAATCATCCGAAAAATCCAGGTCTTCTAGGTTCTTCACGTCGGTCCAGGATATCCCTGTCTTCTCGTTTCCCACTGTCTGACGCATAATCCAGTCCAGTCCACCACAATTAGGAATATCACTAGTGATAATAAGCACCCTTGTCTGACTCCTGTGTTTACTCCAAACGCCTAGCTGAGTTTTCCTTTGTGGATCACTTGACATGTGCCGTTGTCGTACAGCTGTTGAATAAGGTTGGTGAATATTTGGGGTACGCCGTAGTACTCGAGTAGTTTCCAAATTACTTCGCGGTCAACGCTGTCGAAGGCCCTCTCAAAGTCTATAAAGTTGAGGTAGAGGTTTAATTGCCATTCCATGCAAAAGCTTTCTCTACATACGATTTTTTTTCAACTAAATATACAATGTTTTTCACTAATATGCATGCCGCCAATATATTTCAGTCATTTTAATGTTTTGAATACATTTTTGTAGGCCGATTAGTGCCTTTTATCGCATAATCCTTATTTTAATCGCAGTTCAAGAAAACTGACTAATACACACCCTTAAAAAATTTTCTGAGGGTGATGCAGAACTGGTTACTCTAAAATTTTAGAAGCCGATGGGAATTTAAATCGAGCATATTTTTGAAGAAACATGTAATCACAACCTCTGTCTTGACTTGGTTTCGAGACAGTAAGCTTCTAAGAATCCTACTTTGAGCGTTTTACGTCGTATTTTCAACAAGGTCCTCGGAGGAGCGGGCGGTACTATTAATTCCCGGAAACTCATTTCCCCCCCCAGAGCCAGTATCCCTGCTGAGTAGACAACACCTGAGCGACGTTTAAGCATGAAAATGAGCAACCAAACCATGGCTGCTTCTCAGATGGTACGTACTGCCCCACCTCAGCAGGCCACTCTCATGATTTGGTCACATAATTGCACTTCCACCTTGCAGGTAGCATACAACCATCATCCTCGGATCAGGGACAATTCTTAAGGCAAGAGCACCTAAAATGCTGACGATCCTCTCACCGGTGGCTCCCCTCCGCTGACCAAGACAAGCATAAATAGGAGATTTAACTTTCTGTGAAGGCTCCCCCTACCCAGCTCACCTTAGCCTATGAGAACATTCCACATCCCGAACCACCAGAAGTCCGAAATGCTTCCTGCACAGAGACAATAGTCATATACACCTCTTGGGGCGGTTGTACAAAAATGTTTAGTCTGGTCTAAGAGACTGGGTCCCTGGACCGCGGGCGGTTACTCCCACGGCTGCTCTGCTCCCACTACATCATGGGCAGAACCCTGACGCTTGCGCGCCCGAGCAACTGGAGGTCGCGCCACCTACCTGCGCTATATGACCTCGCTGGACGGTTTTAAAGACCTACAACCAGCCGCGGAGACCCACGACCGATCGCAGTCCGACGAAGCCTTAAAGGCCACCATCCGTGAGCAAACTAGTCTCGGACATAATCCCCTCACAGGTCGTCTGAAGGTTCGAATCAAGCTCCCCCTTTGTTATAGGGATACGAGACTCTCCCCAACATCCTTCCCGCTCGGTTTTCATGACCAGGCTACCGTTCATAGTCAATGCCCCACTGCCCCCTATGACGCCTTAGCACCAAAAAGGATTACAGCCAGAACAAAGCCGCGTTCGGCAATCCCAAGGGCAAGAAATAGTTCGCTCTCGTGCTGACAGGATTTAGCTAGGGCGGCCGGAAAACCATCCCACCCGGCGGGAACCACGCGGAGGTACCTGTCAACGCAACTATAACCCTTAAGAGAGTCATAGTTACTCCCACAGCTGGTGCAGATCCTTATATCCTTTATTAGTAATCTAGTGCCTTTCAATAAGTTTTAGTATTCAGGAGTGGATGGATATATAAGGTACTAGAACACATATTATTGATTACTTTTGTCTTCCAGGCATAATAACACACAAAACTGTGCCTTTATGCCTCATCAATTTCACAATTCTTATACATAATTCTATCTGACCTATACTTATATCCATATAATATTTGCATGGAATTTAACCATCTTTCTGAATATAATTCACTTTCTTTTTAAAATCCTGATTACAATTACTCATAATTATTATGAATCTCAATAAAATTTAATAGTTATTTTTAATTTGAATAAAAACCTCTTTGAAATCAATTCAGGTGGTTGGTTGTAAAGTAATCGGCACGTTGTCCTACACACCTTATGAATTTATCTGAATACTTGAGTTCAGCTACGGTTAGTCATTTGTAGGCCTTTGGAAAAATGAAAACATGATTTATTGAATTTTAACGTTTCAGTATTACCCAAAAATCTTAGTTGTTGACAGTACACCGATTCTCTGAACAACTAATATGAATATGTAATGTAAGGGTAGGATAAGACCACTGTGGTCGATTGAAATTCCATAGGATTATTAGCTTTATCTGATATAACACACACAGTGCTAAAGTATCAGTAACTGGATGTAGTTTCAAACACAATTTATTACTCATTATATTATACTGAGGCTTGTGCTACTGATAAGATTTATCAGTAGTACATGAAGAGATGTTCATCGCCACGAAAATATCAAATAGCGAGCGAAGAGGTAGATTTGACGTTAAAGAGAGGAAATGAACCAGTATTGAGGCAAAATATGGGAGACACAAAAGAAGACCAGGAAAAACAATACGAAGGGCAGAAGTAGCACAACACAGAAGATCTGTGCAAATGACGGCTTTCAGATAAGGTGTACATAATTTCGTTATATAGCGATACCAAATTCCAAATAAACATTCCGTTTCCAAGTGGGTTTTTTTTGTCTTCTTCCGTTACAAAATCAGCACATTCACACGACTTGATAACTTGCTCCATGTAGCCGTAATCCCTGCTACTTTTACCGCAATTTTCCAAATCTCTGGGATATGTGTTGCATCATTTCGTTTACACATGATTATTGTTGATTTGGTGGACAAAGATTCGGCGACATACTCCTCCCTCCGCCTAACCATATTACGTTTTAATACTTCCATTCTTCCCCACCCTATTGTGTGATCACACGCAAGTGAATTCATTGCAATGACCGAGCCCATTTTTAGAGATAAATTAACTTACTTAGTGGAATCACCTATTCTAGATCTAGCCAAATTCTCATGTTCCCATAATCTAATTGACGCTGATCTACTGTTTTGACCAATGTAATTGACACTGCAATCATTACACAGTATTTGATAAGTTATATTACCGTTCATAATTGAAACTATTAGGTCCTTAAGCTTTGTCTCTAAGTGACTCATCGTATCAACACTAAACATGTGCGAACAAAATGATGCAGTGCCTATCCTGGAGATATGGAGAAGTGCGTCAAAAACAATAGGAGGCATGTCTATAAAATGCAAGTTATCAAGTTGTGTGAATACACTGATATAGCTATGATCAATAAATTGTGTTAGAAACGCAATCCAGTAATTCAAAACTGTACCATTGTGTGTTATATCAAATAAACTTAGCTTATATGTAATAGAGATACTGACATAACTTGTAGGATCTGTTTTAGTTGGTATTCCTTTAACCTACAGAAAACTTTCGGCATACTTCAAGTTGTATTGTTCTGTCCATAGAATGCAATTGTCTCTGGGTTCAATGATCAATGACAGAGCCTCAAAAACATGTCAAAATAAACTAACTTTATGAGTAATATTAAAGCATACACCCCTAAAAATTGACCAGTTTCAATGGACAAGTCTTGCGGATAATTATATCTAAGCAGCAGGCTTCAGAGTTAAACATATAAAATCGCATCTTCATTATTTCATGGTAGAATATGTGGCCTATTGCATCAGAAATGCCTCGTTTTTTGCGCTATTATCCGAGTGATATTCATTCAAATTGGTGTATTTTTGGGGGGATTATTGATTTAAAATCATTCAATTTTATTATGATCTTTACTAAGCTGTTATTGATTTTATTCACAGCCAAAAAAATAGCCACATACTTATTCTTTTTTTTACGAGTTGATCACGGATTGATATCAGTTAGAGAAGCGTTGAAAACCAGGGAGTACTGGACAGCTGCTGTTTCATCCTAGTTTGGGAATCATCGGCAGTACGCACCCACTGCCAGGGTTCGAACCCAGGACCTTCCAGTTACAAGGCAAGCTCGTATACCATTCAGCCACTGGGACCCGATTCAATGGCCATCCCATGAATTCTAACTTTTACCAATTCGTGATTTAGCGCGACCCCAACCATTGTCGTTGGTGGGACACCCATCTACACACGTGACATCTAATTGGACCTCACTGGTCACGACTTCTCACTAGAACTCCAGGAAACTCCATCCTGTAGCAAGTCACTAGCGAGCATACTTATTCATAATTAAATTATCAATTCAAAAAGTACCACAAAATAACTAACATACAGAATAACAGTTTGAATATGATTAAAATTATTTGTACAAATAAGAGGATAACTACATAGCACCAAACTTACAATTAAATCTGTTTGTTGACAAGCTAATCCAGACGCTGGTGGTTCAATCAATCCAATGAAGGCTAAAGATCCAACTCTATCGATCAATCCTGATGTAAATAGACTTGGATTTAAACGAATTATTCCTGCTAGAGTAGTTGCACAGGATAGAGTGAGTTCTTGTTGAATAGGATTGATACCAGTTCGATTTGTACTTGAATCCATAATCCCGTGTGACCATAACCGACTGACTATATCACCAGTTGTAACAGACTGTAGACATGCTGAGATTGACTCATTCAATGAACCGCTTACAGTTACATCATACAACTGACAACCGTGTATTGCAGTAACGAAAGCGTCCAAAGATTTTGCAGCACTAAGACGAACATGGATTTCCGTAATCTTTGTAGTAATATTTGTTGAGGTTGTTGTTGTTGTTTCTTCGACTGTAAGTGAATTACGCCCACCAAGTGCAGATTCTCCAGTTCGTATAGAGGTGTTATCGAATGCATCTAGAATAGATGCAGGTTCGTTGGCAGCAGAATTTGAGCCTAGTGTAGCACTGGTTATACTGCTACTTGTTATAATGCGTATTAAGTGATGAACAGCAGTTTGCCATTGAATGGCTTGAGCATCTATGGTTAGTGTACCGGATTTTTGAGAACTATGCGCCAATAAACATGTACAACAGGTTAACACTTCACCTAGTGCAATAACAGCAGCCTGACGTAAACGTAGACTACAACGTGATGAAGATTCACGTATAATATCTATTAAAACAGTAAGACAGTTGGAAAATAATGTTCCAGTACTAGGCGAAATCAAATTCAAAGGATCTACATCCAACTCATTATTGTTCAGTTGAATTAAAAATGAAGCAACACGAAATGATACCAAGCTGCACAAACGACATAATCCTGTTCGTACATCACTCGGCAGAACAGCACCGGATCGTAATTGTTTTGTTAATTCTATTAACAAATCAGGTGCCATTTGAATTCCAATAAGGTGAGAACGTGCATCTGCAGCACTATTGACAGACAAACGACTTTTATTTCTGCTAGAATTTGCAGCGGCCATTAACCAAATCAAATATCCCAGTAAATTTGTACGGTAACTTTTAATTGCTGATCTATTGGGTGATGATCGGATAGTGGACAAACGGCTCGATGTATTTTCACTAGCATCGGAACTTCGAGTACGAAATAAACTTACAACCTGAAAACCAAGGAAAATAGAAAAAAGAGAGAAATACGATAATGTACACAGAGAAATACATTGAAAAGAGTAAATCCGCTATGTGAAACTAATACACCTACTGCTGGGTGGTTGGAGGCTATCAGCAAGAAGCTTTAGAGCTATGTTTCATCCTCGCTGGAACTCGTCGGTAAGGTGTATTTGTAAATTACTTAGAAAGAACTGATGTGCCCTTTAATCTACTTCACGCAGTAGCACAGTCAGAGACGCTGCCATTTGGCTATCTGGGCTCACGATTGGCCTCCTATAGGACCTTAGTGGATACACTGATTGATTAATCACGGGTTAGTAACCAATGTGACATGTCTGGTCCCAAGTGTTTGCTGCAGACAGACAGTCAAGTTTACAATGTCATCAGAAGGTTAGATGACTCGCCATTGCAGTTCACTTTGAATTAAGCTTAGGTGGTTGGAGGAAATCAGCATATGAAACATGCTATTAATTACACACTAGTGACCACACAATAAATAGATCTGCCATACTGTAAACTATTGTTATGAAAATTCTTAAGGCAAAAGTAACTTAGAATTAATAAACAGGCTGAAACGATGGCTCCAGTATGGTTAATATGATGAAACTGTCAATATCAAGTGCTGAATATAAATAAAATGCATATGTTCACAGTACTTATTCCCGTTGCAAACATAGACTATGAGTATTCCGGAAGACGGGAAACGAAAATAAACACTCCAAAATGAAATTAAACGATTGAAAATAAACGAAAGACAAATCAGTGGAAAAAATTTGCCTGTCAATTAAGTCCATTTTAAAGTTTCACAATCGTATTTAAATTTAATAAAATGTATAACAGTCTATTATTGCGAAAATATTCATTCAGACAATCTAGAAAAACAAAATAATTGAGCAAAGAATATCCTTTTCGATAATTTCCTCTTCTGGCTCTACAATAACATATATGTTTATATACATAGAATATTCTAGAATAGTAGTCAATAGCAATATTAGTGTTTCTTTAATAATATCGATTTGTTAAGTAAGATCAATGGAATTACAGTTCAAGAAAGATGCATAAGTTAAAATAAGCATAAAAATGTAATAGCAAATAGAATATCAACTAAAATTAAGGAAATTTCCACAACAAATTGAGGATCATTAGAACCTTGATGGCCAAGGTAAGGAAAGTGTCTGAACTAACTTCTTTTGGATACATAAGTTAGATTTCTTAATGTGGATCCCAACGGCCTCAGCAATATGTAGTAGACGAACTCTTAAGGTGAAGTTAAGATTAGTTGGTATGCGGTAAATGACTTTGAAAGCCGCCTCGTCAACATCAATCTTGTGTTCTGTATCCACAAGATGAGATAGAATAGCGCTACGAATGGATTTTGTTTGTCCTTTACTTAACCATGCAGGGTGATAGTCGGAAATCCGACGATAAACACGCCTAAATGTACGGCGTGGCTCCACAGGAGCAGTCGAATTGGTAAACATAGAAGAGGCGAAATCAGGCAGTTTATCTTTTACTGCCGAACGCAAAATAGGGGTGGTTTTGTAGACATAGCGTAATTCAGAAACAGTGAATGCTCTTTTTACCGCATTTCTAAGGCGTTGTGTTAGTATCTCGCTGATGTTATCCCCAAGGAAGTGGAGTTTTAAGAATAAGGCCTTTTTCGGAATTGTTGGTACCTTTGGCTGCCTTGATTTTAGATTCATATTCTTATCAATAAACTTTTCTGGATAACCGTTTTCACTCAGCAACTGTTTAATAATATATTAAGTTCTTCATTAAGACATTCATCAGAACAGATTGCTCTTGCTCTATGGACCAAGCACTTTATCAGATTGCGTTTGTATTTCAAAGGGGATTAACATCATTGCGACAGTGACCCGAAAATTACTTCCTGAGATAGAAAAAGCACAATTAAGTAATAATCCGTAAGATAGTGACTAACTAAAGCTTCAACATAGAACTTTGCACAGAAGTGCAACAGTTCAAGTTGCTACACTCCATATAGCACACAAAAGTACAGAGGAAGATTCAGAAGAACTATAATGAGCAGAAATGTGAAGGAGAAAGAATGGTAAGATAGAAAAACATGAGGATTTGATGGACATGGGAAATCACGAAGAGTGAATGAGCCTGCATCACTGAGAACGATTTTGAACCGTATCGCCAACCAGTGGTCCTTAGAATTCTGAGCACCCCAACCAGGCAGTCTACACTTCATTATAAATTATTTAAATTAATCCCAGTGTGTTTAAGAAAAAAATCAAAACAAGATTTTTCTGAACATTTCGATGTGTAAACCACAGCTTCTTCAGCAGAATTATTCAGATTTTCTTAATCATGAAAATATATAGTCGAAATTTTTTTACAGAAATTGAAGTCAGTTTCTTTGAAGGTCACTTGTCGATACCAATAGAAATATGTAAACAGTCATCATATATTTGTAATGACTAATGTCAAATTGTTATTGTGTATATTTTTCTGTATGAGTGTGTGTGAGCGCATCATATGGAAAAGACGTCAATTCACATGTGATAAACATGATAATACATTTCTTAAAGGTCATGGAGGTTCATAGAGGTTTTTTTTATCTGTCTTGCTTCATTAGAGTTTGCCATATAAGTGATAAGTTTATCCCTCTTTTCCTATTTACTGCATTCGATGTTGTTCAAACATGCATAGCTTCAGAGGTCAACCTTCCTTTACGTGAATGAAGTCCTCTTCCAAGAATTTCAGCATTGTCGAAATCAATCTTATGTCCGCTGTCTATCGCATGCATTGCTATAGCCGATCTTTTTTCTAGACCCTTTAATTCTACTTCATTTCTAGGTGGACGTTTCGTGCATAGTCTATGTTCATTCACTTCCTACGTGGATGGCTTAAGGCAACTGTCAAAAACTTGAATGATTGGTACCGGAGTTTTGGTTCGACCACCTGTACGTGTTTTCTAACATAACCCTATATCAGCTAACATTGCCATGGGATAGTGAAAGTAGGGATCTTACACTAGGCAGGGTGAAAATTATTACTAGAAGAGAAGAAAGTACCATGGGTGTTCAAACATCAAATGTTAAAAAAGCGAATAAAATGAGAAACAAAATGCATAAAAGGCACACGCTAACAGTGATAAGAGTCAATGTTTACCAAAAAATGGAATTATCATAGAAAATGGTCAAAAAATATGTAAAGATGGCTACCGGGGGACGCAGTTATATCACTCATGGGAAATTTAAATCAGTTCATTTTACGCTAAAAATTGCGCTGAAGATGTTGTCCAGAAGGACGACGAAAGCTCCGCAACTAAACCAACCAGCTCAGAGAACACTACTGACTGCAAATTCCCCCTGAAATGTTGATACTGACTAATTATTGTTAACAAACTTTACACCATTAGATTGGTGAACTTTTTGTATAATATTGAAAATGTTACATATAGAGTAGAGCCATGGAAGAAGATCTAATTGAAAAGTAAATATTTCTTCGCTAAACCTCTGTGTCTTCTAAGTGTATAATTGGGGAATTTTCTATGGTTATAACTAATGGGCAAGGAGTTTAAGTTAACGGTCTATTGTTTAAGCTCCAATGATACAACCCGGCTGTCCAAGAAACTATATGTGGGGAGGAGTTCGAACCCTCAACCAAGTGATTTGAAATCAAACACATGACTAGTAAACTACAACTTCACAAAGGAATTTGAGAACATGGTAGAATGATGGACTAAACAAACATCTACATACAAAATTCGTGTTTGAATCGACAAGTTGATAGCTTTTCCATCTGAACAACTTGACCTTCATTTGTAGATTATTTCAACTTGATGGAGGTGCGTGGTCCAGATTTACTGTATGTCTGAGAATGAAGCTAGTGAGTTATTTGCATTATCCTCTTGATAACCCTGCTTGATAGTGTTTTGAGATGAGCTTGGAGAATTTGTGTTCTATTTAGCCTACAGAACCATTTCCACAAGAGTAAATGACGTTGTATTGTATAAGCATTAACATTAGCCCAGAGAGGTAACATATACCTCACACATATGCAAATCATTCGCCAAATGAAAAAACAAATCATTAGCTTAGCAATAGAAAATTTTTATCAACGATCCAGAGAGGCAGATCTTCAGGATTTCAGCCGCAATGTCGCTCTTAAATTCAGAGCTGCATAGATTCTTCGAGACTACTGTTTTACTTCCATGTTTTTCTATGATCGCTTCTTCGAGTCTTCCCCGTTTATCATCAGTTGTGTCATCCTATCGCAGATCTTTTTATCTCTTGAAGATAAGGGATCGGTAAGATTTTTTCCGTAGGAATGGACCCAACTATGGAAGTTTGAATATTGACGATTCCCTCGATGGTGCCTTGTAGATTGATCTCTATAAAAACTTGTCACATGTCTTTTGTAATATAACATTCCAGAATTGAAATTCTGACTTGGTCTGATATGAACTTAATTGAATAATGAAAGCTTTTGACTGCTTTCACTGTAATCTGAATATATCATCCATGCATCAAATGCCTGTCGAAATACATTATTATTTCCCAGGTTTTCTACTCAGCAGTCTATAGATAGAAGGCTCCATAGTGATCCAGTTGCCACTCCATCGTTTTTTATCTGCACAGCCAGTCAGTGGACTTAAAGTGCAAGTTAAAAGTATACTTCCTTAATTAATTTTATATACCTGGGTCATTTTATCAACGATGATATTCCTGAGTGTGGTGGACTGGATCATGCAGAGGACCCTGGAGAGCAGAGACAGACATGAGATGGACCGACACGGAGATTCTAGATTGTCTGGACTTCGTGAATGATTTTTGTCTCACACCACACAAATTCGAAGACCTTCAGGCGAAAACCAACAAGTTAACAGAAGAGGCAACAAAGATAGGACTTATGGAGACTTATGGACATTGAGAAGACGGAGGTGAGAAGATATCTAACCGAAAACAGTATGCCTCACTTACCATCAACAAGAAGATGCAAGGAAAATTGTCTCTCT